CAGAATTCTAGATTAGAAGGTATCAAGCCCTGATGGATTAGAACTTGAGCTGGCAAATCTGGAAATTAATAATGACACCTTGGAATTAGAAGGTGGAGATGAAGTTGAAGTTCTTACAAAGAAACTTCCTGATGAACAGAGACAAAAAGATGCAGAAGCCAGCACTGGATCTCATCTCAAGTTCATGGTAGGTACTTTCCTCTAGCAGCTGCCCAACTGCTTCAACCGAGATCTGACAGACAAGTCAGCAATGGATTTTTACATGACATGAACACAAAAACAAACTACTAGCCTCTTTATAGTTCCTAGACAAAAGCTGGATTTGCTACCATTTTATGCAAGATTGAATGTTACACTGTATCCATTCATGTCTGAGGTAGCAGAGGATCTTTGTTTCATGCTGAGGGAACAAAAAAGGAGCAGATCAATATTGAAAAAAGAACCAAACTGTTCATTTATTGGAGAATTTAAGATGTTTGTGCTACATGGTTTGAAGATGCTTGTTAAACTTTTCCCATCATCATATTGAAATGTGTACTCTACTGGAGATATGTGGATGATTTCTTTTTAGATCTCCAGAATTGTACTTGAGGATCAGTGTACTTTTGGAGCAAATGACGAGAAAGAAACAAGTAATACATCTTGACATAAGATGTATCACAATGGTGGAAAATGTTTATTACTACTGTGACCCACCTTCGAAGGACAGTGAGAAAGAAACATCTCTTTCAGCAATATGTCTGGAAACTTGTAGAAGGATCTTTCTAAGGTCCTTTTGAGATTGATGTAGAAAGATTTTGAGACTGATGTGACAGTTGCCCAGGAAGGACCATGAAGTGAAAGATTTTGTTACGGATTGTATGATAGACATCTGGGATGTGAAATACAGTGGTATTCATTATATAGCCAAACTTTTAGTGGGAGCAGTATGCTACCAAAAGGATATTGGAATCCATATCATAGAAGGAATTTTAAAGCATTTGATTGGAAATGGAGGTTAATCAACCTAAATTTAATTAGAGGTGTATCAGCAGTACTAAATTCTTGGGGACACTTTATAATTCCTGAATAATGGAATCAGCTGTTATTTTGAGAACTCTAGTCTCTTATTTCACTTAGTGTTAATTCAGATGACTCTGAGTTCACTGAACTCTCCTGAGTTTCTTTTCAGAATTAGACTATGTTAGGCTAGTGTTTAGATGTCCCCCAAAGGCTCATGTGATTATTGGTGGGGCTTTTTCAGAAGTGGCTGGACCACATTCCAGTGTGTGATGCTGGCTGGAATGGATATGGTTCAATGCTAGGATCACAGGCACTCAGATTAAGGGGGTGAATGTTACCTGCCCTCAAAAACCTGGATGTGACAGAGGGGATAGAAGAAGCTGTCATTACCCCTGTTGCTTTGTTACCTTCTGCTTGCCATGAACTGTTTCTCCTCTGCAATCCTTATCTTCTGGGCCAGCCTGCCTTGTGGCCAGCCAACTATGGACTGATATCTTTAAAAACTGTGTGTCAAGTAATCGTTTTCTCCTTTAACTCTGGGCATTGAATATGTTGTCTTAGCCATGAGAAAAGTAACTAAGACAGACTAACATGCTCTTTTCTGGATACTCATGGCCAGTACTTTAACAGAAGTTCAAATAAACACAAACTTGATTGCTTCCTTGTATATTTTCAGTGTTATGTTTGGTGGGAAAAAAGCATGGAGGTTTGGACAAAAGACCATCCATTTCCTACTGATATCAACTGTGTGATATCTAGAACTGCTAAGACAAAGACCAAGCTCTGAAATACTCTGGATGAACCCATCAGGCAGGTACATGACTTGGAACAAGAATAATTAGTAAAAGTAGACCTAGTAAATGACAAAGAGTCAAAAGATTCCATGTCAGGAAGAGGAAATGTTGGAGAAGAGGAGAAAGAGTAAGAAAAGGAAAAGGAGGAAGAGGAAAGAGATAGAGAAAGAGAAGGAGAAGGGGGAGTCGAAATAGAAGAACAATTTGGGATGAAAGTGAAGGAAAGGAGTCAGAAGAAGAGGGCAGTTCAGATCAAGAGGATGCAGAGGGAGAAGAGGAGGAGAATATCAGTTATCTTTCAGATTCCAATAAAGAGAATGAAACTCATGGAAAGCATGCTGAGGTCCTGGTTAAAGGCTAGACTGAAGCATGTGCCTTGTGTAGATGAAGAGAACTTCCTTCCCACTGGATACAGTGATGCTGGGAAACCTACAGTAACAGAGTGTGAGTGCACGAGAGGGGAGCCAGCTTGATGTTACTATTCCTCCGCATCTCAAAAGCCAGCTGAGGAAGAGGCCGCCTGGGGTGCTGGGGAAGGAGAGGCAGAGCCACAGAAACCCTACCATTTGTCATGCTAATGGGAAGAGGCAATCCACTGCAGTTGGGGATCCTAAATGTGCCCTGCTGTCCCAACTTGCTGCGAATCATTAGAACCAGCAACAGACAGAACAATAAGAGAAGATGAGAATGAAAAAGCTCCCACTAGATAGCAAAGAACGACAAGAACAAGAAGGTTATCAACAAATGCTGCAGTCTCCTGCCCAGCGCCAGCTCCAGAACACACCACTCCTGGGCAGTAGCCTTGTTACTGGCATCGAAAGGGAGCCCCTGCTGCAGATCGAACCCTTAAGACAGACAGGAGACACTGATCTAGCAGCCCTGTCATTTCCTTGGGCCCTGTGTCTGACACTGTGTAGTGGAGTCCTCCAGAAATTGAATGACACATCTCAGCATATTGGTCCAGAGAACTGCATATCTAAACGAGGCGCAAGTTGGGGCTGTGGGGCAGAAACACCCCTGGGCAAACCTGAGGCTTCCAGATAGTGCTGAGGAGGCCGTATGTCATGGAAATCACACAAGGATTAATCTTCTCTTGAGAATGGCAGTCAAGAAATGAGATAGTGCGTGTGTGGGTGTGGGGCTGCTGCTACCTCCCAGACCTGAGTTGGTTATGGGCCAGGAGCCTCTACAGTGGCTGCTGGAGTATGTGCGGTTGCAGTCCAGCAGCCATCGTGGAGGCTCCCTGTGGGCAAACAACTCAGGTCAGAGAGGCAGCAACCAGTCTTGCCCCCATACACACTCCACCAGCCATCTGGGAGCCAATGTTGGCTGGGAAAAGCAGTACCCATCCCCGCACCAGCATACCCACTGGCCACGATCAGATACCCATAGCCAGCACTGGCCAGGAGAACCAAACCTTCTCACTTTAGAGAAATTGTAGCCAATGCGGGAAGTGCCTAGGACCCCACTACCCACTTGTCCACAAGAACCCAGGGATATATCAAGATGAAGAAGCAAAAGGCAATCCAGCAAGTCCAGGAGTTGTAAATGTGAAGTTTGTGAAGTGATAGCAACTGAAGTAAAGAAAAACTTCATGAGGCTATAAAAGAAATTAGAGCAGAAATGCTATCTCAGGTAAAAGAAGAACTGAAAAACATAATAAAAGAATGGCTAAGCACCTTTAAAGAATACATGGATTAAAAAAAGAGGAGCATAGGAAAATGAGGGGAAATCTTGAATGAACAATATAAAAAAGATTTAGGATGCATGCAACATTCAAAGAGATAGCCAGGAAATGAAACACTCTATTGAAAGCAGGCAAAACTGCTTGAAAGAAACTGAAGATAGACTTTCAAACCTTGAAGACAGGTTTGCAGCTTGAAATTGAAAAGGAAAGATTTCTTAAAAATAATAAGGAGCCAGAAGTAACAATTCAATGGCTGCAAGACAACTCAAAGAAACATAACTTAAGAATAATAGGTATGACTGAAAAAGAGAAGGACAACACAAATAACATTAAAAGTCTACTACAGAATAGCAGAAAACTTCCCAAGCATGGGAAAATGATGTGAGATTCAGATATGTGAGGCGTATGGAACTTCAGCTAGCCATAACCAAAATGAATCTATACCTAGACTACAATAATCAAGATCCTGGAAATTCAGCACAAGAACAGAATATTAAAAGCTGTTGGAGAGAAGAAACAGGTCACCTACAAAGGAAAATCCACCAGAATCATGACAGAATTCTCAACACAAACTATGAAGTCAAGAACAGGCTGGAGTGAAGTATTCCAAGTCCTGAAATAAAACAACTTCCAACCCAGATTGATGTACCCTGAAAAACTTTCTTTCAGAATTAATGGAGAAACAAGATACTTCCATGACAAAGAACAGCTGAAGAAATTCATAACTACCAAACCAACCATACAAAGAATATCAAAGTGTATTCTAGAGAGAGAGAAAAGTGACCAGGGTTCCAGGAACAGTGAGAGGAAGGTCACCAACTGGGGCAAGCAGTTGAATGGAGGGGAAAAGTAGGAATCCAGGGGCAGGAAGATAGCCTGGCAGAGACGAGCCAATGCACGTTGGCCATAACCATTCATGCAGATGACCTGAATTCATCAGTAAAAGAAACATAGGCAGAGTAGATCGGGAGACAGGATTCATCAATGTGCTTTATACAAGAAACATATTTAACTCGAAAGAAAATTTATAGATTGAAAGTCAAAGGAGAGGGGAAAATGCTTTATGTGAAAGGGAACCAGAAAAAAGCAGGCGTAGCTAGCCCGTCAACTGCAGAATGGATAAGAGAGATGTGGCATTTTTATATAATGGAAAGCTACTCAGCTATAAAGAAAGATAACCTCAAGGCTGTTAGAGGTAAGTGGGTGCAAATTGAGATCATGCTCGTGGATGAAATGATTCAGAGTCACACGGGTGAGCGTTGTGACATCTCCCTAGTGTACAAAGCTAGAGGAGTTAGTGAGATCCAAGATGCACAACAAATATTGTAAAAGTGAAAAGGAAGGCAGTGGCCACTGTTTATCTATTATTGTGTTTTAAGACCCTGTATTGTTTTCATTGTTCTGTTTAGTTTGGTTTTATTCTGTTTTGCTTTGTTTGATTTTATTATGTTTGATGGCATGAACATCTATTTCAAAGATAACAAATTACGGTAGCCATTATTGGTTTCCTAGTATCTTGTTTTGAAGTGCTGTATTGCTTTCATTGTTTTGTTTTGATTGATTTTATTCTATTTTGTGTTGTTTGATTGTATTATGTGTGATTGTATAGGCAGCTACTTTGAAGATAACAAGAGACATTCTGGCAGCCACTGTGGTTTTCTATTATTTAAAGTCCTGTATTGCATTCATTGCTTTGTTTTGATTGATTGTATTCTGTTCTATTTTGTTTGCTGTTATGACGGTATGGGCAGTTATTTTGAAGATAACAAGAGGCATTATGGTAGCCATTATTGATTTCCTTTTATCTTGTTTTGAAGTCCTGTACCACGTTCCTTGTTTTGTTTTGATTGACTCTATTCTGTTTTATTTCATTTGGTTTTATTCTCTTCAAAGAAAGAAAGAAAGAAAGAATAAAAGAAAAGAAGAAAGAAAGAAAGAAAGGAATGAAATAGTGCAGTGGACCACAGAACAGTTACACCAAGAGGAACACAGACGAGATGACTGAGCCAGAGAAGGGACGGCTGTGATGCAACAGTATGGCAGAAATGAATTTGAGTTTTTAACTTGATTGGAATTACAGTGTTTGGAATTGAGCATCCCATGCTGGAAGAATACATATTTGGGGGCTCCAGGACCTCAGTAGAAAAGTACAGAGCAAGCATTGAAATCTTCTAGTAAAAACTCATGCAGGACAACAAAATAATGACAGATACCCAAATACCAGATTAATCCACCGAGGAGGCTTTTGTTTAGGAATTTGTTTCAAGAGGAGCAAGGGATGAGGGACAAAAATCCCTTTTTATCCATTAGTCAGTGATATAAATTTATCACTTAGAGTGAGAGAAAAATGTGGGGATTGTTAGTATACAGAGAGCATTAAGCCAGGTTTGCTTAGAAAAGCCTCATACTAGCCTGAGGATAGAGGTAGCATTGAATCCATTGTAATTATCATTGAAAATCAAATGTATCAGTCAGTATGTACCAAAAAATGAGCAAAGGACAACAGGTAGATCAGAGTATTTTGTTGACTTTGATGGGTTTACAACCTCTGTCTCTAATTGGTTTTGTTCCTTGCCCCTGAATAGAAATGAGGGTTCTTAGTCTGTTTCTGACAGTCTGTGAGTTTGTTAGGATAGTTGTCTTTTGTTTGCTTGTTAGTAGGCATAGTAAATTGAGCAGAAGAGCACAGTATGCTACAACTTGATACATACTTTTTAAGCTGTTTTGCATTTTTCTCTTACTGTGGTTCGATTTCTTCATGTAGATGTAAATAAAAAACAAAATTTGTAAAATGTAACATTCGACATGGAAATGCTGCCAGTCTTCACCAGTTTCAGGAATCTGACCTTTGCCGGTGCTGTAATAAAGTGCTGCAATTGAAAACAATGCAACAATAAAACCTCCAAATGAGTCCTGAAACCAGGGACAGCAGATTCAGTGTGGAGCAGGAAAACCCGCAGTCAGTGTTTATCCCAAGAGGGACAATCCCAGCTGTCCTGGGGTGCAGAGGTCACCTGGAGAATAACTGGGGACACACTAAGAGGCAAACTCAACAGACAGCGTGGAATGTGGCTTGCTAGCTTGCCTGCCTCAGACGGGAAGGACTCTGGGGATGTGGAGCTGTTTGTTGAAGGGAAGGCAGGGAGGGGCCGGAAGGAATAAGTGGACAGGTTACATCAAGATGCCCGGCCTCTGGGCCTCATGCCAGGTCTGACAAGGGGCCTGGCAACCAGCATTGCCGAACAAGGTGCTTCTGAGGAGCATGGCACCTCCAGTGCACAGTCCCCCATGCTCGGAGATGTGGGGCTCATGCCCAGCTGCCGAAGGGCCTGAGGTATGGTAAAAGTTTGTCTCCTAAGCCCGATAAATGGAGTTTCTCTCAGAAACTTGGTCTCTCTCTCTGTCTTTGTCTGTCTCTCTTTTATTTCATCTTCTGGAAGCAAAGGAAGAAAAATAGGCTCAGGAGCAACCTAGTGTGGGAGAGAGCTCTGTGGGGAGCTGTTCTTTGGTCGCAGCTCTGCTGTCTTGCATAACCAGCCCCCTCCTCCAAAGCTCCTCAGCTGACACCTGTGTGTTTGCAGTCGCTGGGGAGCAGCCACCCCCAGGGGCTGCTGGCCACAGCCCATCCCCAACCCCATGGGCCCCGTGCCAAAGTTGCTGGGGCTCCTGACCCACCCTCAGCCAGCCAGCTGCCTGGCTGGGTCTGTGGCTGAACAGAAGGGAAAGCTTTCCAGCTCCTCCCCACAAGCAGATCTGGCCACTGAGAGAGGAGATACCAAAAGTGGTTCTGCAAAGAAAGTGAAACAGTGTTAGTACCTCTTGGGAGTTATCCTCTGTGCCTGTCAACGGGTCAGGTGCTGCTCTGGGCAGGAGAGGCACAGCAGTCAGCACAACAAAAAGAAACCCAAGCCGGAGAGCTATGGGTCTAGCAGGTGATGAGCAAGAGTTCTCTGTGGCTTGAAGCTGGGTGGCTGAGCTGCAGGGCCTCATCCTGTGTCCTGTAGCTGCCCCTCCACCTCCTCCCACCTTGCCTGCCCGTGTTACCTTATCCTGCTTCCTGGTCCTGGCCACCGTGGGAGCCAGGGAGGATTCCAGTAAGGCGAATGGCCAAGTAGGCCTGTGGGCCTCTTTCACCTGTGGAGGCATCCATCAAGGCCACAGAAGGAATGGGTTTCCCTAGAGATCAGCTTCTGGAGGAGCTTGCCAAGGGAGACCAGAGCTTGCTGGGCAAGATAGAGACAGATGTGGCTTGGAAAGAGGCAGCCTGAGTTTGCTCAGGGAAAACCCCCCACTCAACTCCAGCTTAGGGTGGGCCAAAATAGGACACTCACATTAGCGGACAATCACAAATGACTGGGGTCTTGGAAAACTGGTTCTAAAGTCTGCATCACCCACACCCTCTGTGGACTGTTAGAGACCATGTGGGGAGACTGAAGGAGGTGACTTGGCGGCTGCCACAGAGTAACTGCCCCTATCAGGCTCCAAATGCCCCACTGCTCTGTGATATTCCGTTGTCTGACAAAGGCCCTGTGGCAGAAGAGAATACAGAGCTGACATCTCGGGCAGTGGACTAGATTGGGCACGGGAAAGCCCAGCGCTCCTGTTTGCCACAGCACCATGATTTTTTGTAGAAGAAATCTGGATCACTTTGGGTTTGTCAATCAAGGTGCCTGCTGCAGTGGATCCTCCCCAGGCTGGAGCAGACACAAGGACAACTGGGGCAGATTTGTATCAAGGGGACCATCAGTGTGATTCTGCTACTCACATCCCAAATGGCTTCCGATTTCTGTCCTTCTGAGTTAGGGGCTTCATTTGTCCAAGGCTTATACAGGCATCATTGACGGGAGATGTTTTCTGTTGCTGGAAGCCTTAAAACCTAAGTGACTAAGGTTGTCCCTAGGCCTGGTCCCACTCAGGGAGAAGGTGGTACAAAATCAGCGAGGCTCACAGGGTCCTCAGAGCTTTGCTTTCCCTAGTGGCGGTACAGTGAGCAGAGACGCTTGGCTGCCCCGCTGTGTAACAGCTAACATGTCCCGACCTTCTGCTCTGTGGGCAGTGTTGCCATTAAGAAGGCTTCATGTTTTACATTACAGTTTATAGAATGTTCTCTTTACCTTGCTTGTCTCCCAGGTGGAGGGGAGCGAGCGGCCTGGTATCCAGCCGACCTCCCGGTTCTAACCTGACCCATCTGGTTCTGGGTGGGCTGTGCCCCTTCTTGCTCTTTTCTAGACCAGCCCACCCAAGAGCCCTGGAACTAGGTCAGTGCTGGGAGACAAAGAACATCTCAGGCCAAGAAGAAAAAATGAGAGCTCAGAGTCACACCTCCTGGCTGCAGCTCTGCCACATTCAAGGAGAGGGTCAGCTTTTATTTGAGCTCACGTCTCCCAGCAGCCCCTGGTAGCTCTGGGGTGGACCTGATCCAGGAAGGCAGGCGGTAGGCAGCCCTCCCTTGCCCTGCTGCATGTCCTCTGCAGCCTCTGCCCTGTGGCTGTCTGCTGCTGCTTTCGCTGGGTTTGGAATCACTGCTCAGGAGGCAGCAAGTGCTGCCCTTCAGTGTCTTGAGTCCGTCAGGAAGCCCCCACCCGTACATACTAAAGGGGACCCAAGTTCACTGGGAAAATGGACTAAATGAATGCTGAGATTCCTTGGGATTTTACTGTGCTATATTTATGTCTTGCTTCTCAGCTTCAAAAATATTTTTATTGTAAATCATCCTGATCATGCGCAAAAGTACAAAAATAATACAACAAATCGCAAGTTCATATGTAACTGCTCTTGATGTAAATAAAACCGGGCCAATGTGATTTTTAGTCACATATTTATTAAATCATAATTTACATGTAATAAACAGTTTTCAAGCATGCAGTGTGGTACATTTTGACAAATTTGTACACCTGTGCAGACAACAGCTAGACAAAAGATAGGACATCCTCACGCATCTTTTCCAGTCAGTCCTCCCTGGCACAGGCAACTGCTGTCCTAATTTCTCTCACCATAGATTAGTTTTGTCTGTTCTAGAACTTTATATAAATAGAATCATACAGAATGAACTGCTTTGTGCCTTGTTTCTTTTGCCATCAAAATGTTTTTGGAATGCTTCCACGTGGATGCAACTCTTGGTAATCCATTCCTCATTATTTCTGAATAATATTCCGTTGAATGAATATTCTGCAATTTATCTATTCACCCAACAATGGACCTTTAGATAATGTTTTTAACCAAGATAAATGAAGTCATGTGTTCACAAAACGAACCAGGCAGGTACATTTTCGCAATAGCTAGAAACCAGAAGAGACCCTGATGGGTATTCTATTTTATATGAGCATCTTCTCTCACACACAATGGAGATGGAGGCTTATTTGGTTTACCTGAGTACTCTTGCCATGTTTCAAGCAGTGTAAGTGATCAAGTGTTTGTCAAATGGATAAAAATAAGGAAAAGGAAGATCCTAGGTGCCCAAGCCTGGTTGAAGAGATGAAGGGTAAGAATTAATCCTCGCCAGCTGGCTAGCAGCGAGGCGGTATCTGCAGGGAAAGCAGAGGTGTCCTACACCTCAGGATTCAGAACGTGGTCAGCATTTGGAGTATTTAGGTAGAATGAAAGAATGAAACACAGAAAAGGTGTAACCAGTCTGTGCAGTGTTGAAATCGCTCGGTCCTCTGGCTTTCGGTTCAGGCTTGCTTCCTGGAAAGTCAAATCTTTCATGTCAGAGCAGAGAGGTAGTGACGGCTAGGGAAAAGGTCCAGGGGATGGCGTAGAGGTGAGGGGCAGAGATTCAGTTTCCAGAGTAAAGAATATGCCAGGCTCTCCTTCTTTTCCTCAAGCCCCACAGCGCCTTCTTTATTCCTCTGCACCGATAGACCCTGTTTAGCACTGCTGCTCTGTAGTATGAAGAATCCCTTGGAGGGCCCCGAAGCCCATCCTCACACCCAGGACAGGTGGCCTCTCACTTTCCCTCGCTGCTTCCGGCTGACCCTTCAGAGCCTCAGAAGGCATCAGATAAAGACAGTGGTGGACAGGTTTTCATTCAGCTGGACAATCAGGCCCTCGGGAATTCATAGGTTTTGGGATGATTAGCTTATTCTACAAGAGATCAAAAATGTTGGAGGCAGACTCGGAGGCAAAGCTCAGTGGTAGGGTATGTACAGAGGCTTGGGTCTGACCCTCAGCATAGCAGAAGAAGAGGAGGAGGAGGAGGAAGAGGGAAAAAAGGAAGGGGAAGGAGGAGAAAGGGAAAGGGAAGGGGAAGAAGGAAGAGGAGAAGAAGAAAAAAAACAAAGCTACATTTCAGTCTGTTTGTTTCAGGCAAGGATGAATCCATTTCCTTAAATGACAAACCTGAAGAACTTCAGGTCCTTTCAGGCAAGAATGAAAAACCTCAGAAGAATAGAGAAGAGGAGGCTTATCAGGCAGGCTGGACCTCAGTGTGGCTCTTTAACACAGAGGACTCTATAAAAGGATCTAGAAGTATTTATCTACCGGAGATCCCAGGCCATTTAGTTTCTAGTAAGAGATACTGGAAAAAGCCAACTAAGATCCCAAACTCCTGCAGTCTTTGGATTCTGCCTCTCCTGTGATGGGACATAGAACTCATGCTCATCTGCGTGATGAAAGTGTGGGTTAGACAGTCAGTCACCAAGAACCTTCCCAGCTCTGAAGCCTGCAGTGCTAATATTACAAACTCTAAGCACAATCTCCCTTGATCTTGCCACTCTCTGTGCATTCCGGGGACACTTTCCAGATGTCTATTGCACAGATCTCCTTTGCTTTAAAGACTACAGTTCAGTGTTCACTCTCATTGAGGTGATTTTCTTACTTGTGATGTTTTCTCCTTTTTTGTCCAGTTCAGAAGTGTTTTCAAGGCAACATACCTGGTTGAAATGAAGAACAGAAATCTGGAAGATTTTTTGTTTTATGTCCCTGTTAAAGGCCTTCTGAGGATTGGTTGAAGGGTGGGAAATTCTCATTCTTTCAGGTCCAAAAATAAGTCCTTCTTCTTGATGAGTAGGACAATCAGCTTGAAAAAGCTGCTACCTGGAGTTCTGGCACATGCAGGGAAGGGTGTTCTTCCCTAGCTGGGCCCAGGACACTGGAATTAAAGTTGACCTTTTGCAAAGGGACTTATTTCTGTGAAACTTATTTCTGTGACCCCCTGTACTGAATTTCACATAAGATAGCTAAGTATACATTTCAGGCCAAACAGCATTTATTTCCTGTCAGAACTTACATATTCAGCCTGACCTTTAAAGAATCTTAAGAGGTTTTGCTATAAGGAGGATTTATAAGGATTCACTTTATGGCAGATCCTAAAGATTAAAGGTAGTTCAGTCAATAAGAAATATTATTTCCTCTCTTGTTGACTGATGGAACACTTGGCCTCAACTGCTGCTGTTTGCTGGCTTCATCCATTCTCTCGAGAGGCATCAGGTCCACAGGCTTCGCAGAGGATCGGGCTGACCCCACAGCCTGGCTTTGCCCTTCACCAGCTGTTGCTGATGCACCTAAATCAGTCTGATTGCTCAGCAAGTGGCAGAATCACAGGCAACAGTGGAGAGCCGGGGCGGTGGGGTGAGGTCCCCGCCCCCACGGCTGTGTTCCGGGGTGGATGGCCACGAAGGCAAACCTTAGGCTACATTCTGCCAGCTGCACAAATGTTCACTACTAGCAAGTTGAAACAAAAGAGTCACGCAGCTTGTACACCCAGGCTGCTTTCCATTCTCAGGCAGGCACTGTGTGGGGGGCACCTGGGCTGGAGGGGCAGTCCACCGGGATGGGGAGAGACAGGAGACTAGGGCTCAGTGCAGGGTGGACCTGCTCACACTGCCAACATTTTAAATTCACATATACATGGCACTGGAGTCTTGTAATATTTCTAACTAATGACCTCTGTAATAAATCACTCATTTAGGTCACCAATAAAATGATTCCAGCATCCTTGGTGCTAAGTCATAAACACCTTAGTGCTGATTTGTACATTACAATTTAAATGTTAAATAACAACCTTCAAAAGTTACTGGTTCTTGATTTTCTGCCTTTAACTTTCTCTGGTGTATAGACTAGAAGTATTTTGTTTTTATGGAAGTTGCGTGTGTGTGTGCACGTGCACTTAGGCACATAATTACGGGTACATAGACCTTAATTCTCATGCATTTTTCTCTTAAAGGATCCAGAGAGTGAAAAGGAGGTGCATGCTGGGACAGAAACAGAAAGCCGGAAGGGAAACAGGGAGAACTGTGGGAAACCAGGAGAATTCTTTAATTCTTATGGGAGCTTTAATTCCCAGCTTCCAGAATGTCCCCTTCTAGGATTTAACATATAAAAAGGTAAATCAGCAAAAGGAGAGATCTCGAAGGTTTTTGACAATGTTTTCCTCACAGTATTTTTTCCTTTTTTTTTTCTCATTTCTTATTTATTTACTTTATTTATTTTGCAGTGCTGGGGATCCAACCCAGGGTGATGTTAAGAATGCTAAGCATCACCAAGAATTGCTGAGGGTCTTTGGATGCCTTAAAAGCGAACGGGAACTAAAGCTTCACGCACCGGCCGTTGTGTACACACACACACACACACACCATGCCAGCAGATGATGGAGGGAACACTGCACCCCGAGACCTGGGTTGTCAGCTCAGCTCCATCACTTTTTACACCATGTGACCTTGGCTACCTTGCTTCACTTCTCTGAGCCGCAGACAGTGGGTAAAATAAAAGCTGTTCTTTAAAGTTGTAGCACATGGTTCTGGGAATGTTTGGCTTTCACAAACCATTAGTTGAACTTAATTAAAGAACATTTTTCTTTAAAAAGCTGATTTTGCAATTTTACAATTTTGACCAGAAGAGCTCAGGATTGTGACCCAGTCAGCCAGCTGGTTAAGGCTTGGGGGTCAGAACAGTTGTCTAGAGAGGAAGATGCTTCGAAGCCAGCTAGCCAGCCTGGCTGGTAAGCTGCAAAGTCAAGCAGGGTCCAGAAAGAGAAAAGCCACATAGCGCCTCCCGAGAGCCTACTGGCGCGCAGGCTGATAACACCCACCCCTCCACCCAGTAAGCAACTGGTTGGTTTGGAGATCAGGCTGAGTTGATAGCAACTGAGGTACAAAAAGCAACTGAATGTTTGTATTGATTGATTGACTTTGCAGGCCTGAGGCCGGCTGGTCTGAACATCTTAAGGGGGGATAACAGTATGCAATATAGTAAATATGGGGTATTTCCTCCTCACTTGCTTTTGAGATACTGTTCTCACTGTTTTCTTTTGTTTCAGTTAGTTGCTTTGCTTTATTCAGTGTTTTATTTTGTTTAGTTTTATTCCATTTGGTTTGATTTTGCTACACCTGATGGAATGAACAACTATTGTGAAGATAACAAGATAGACTATGGTAGCCATTGTTGTTTTCCTAGTGTCCTGCTTCAAAGTTCTGTGCCATTTTCACTGCCTTGTTTTGATTGGCTTTATTCTGTTTTGTTGGTTGGGTTTTATTATCTTTAAAATTTTTAAAAATTAAGAAAAAAAGAGAGGAAGCGGTTTCTTTCGGGGAATAGGAAGCAGAAGCAGTGGGAAGGAAGGTGGGAGGGAAATACAGCTGGAAATATCCTTCCCGACTACCTCCTTGCCCTGAAAGACCTCCCCTCCTCTACTCCTACTTTTGACCTAGGGGAGGTGAGGGCACTTTGCTTGATGAATCCCTTAGCCACAAGGTATGGAAAAGCCACAGAGCTCTACCTGAGACTGCATGCCAGAGCCTTACCCTGGGCACAGCAGGGCAGCCCTGCCTCCCCAGATCGGGCCCGATCTAGTCTCCCCTGTACCAGACCTTGCCTGGTTTCCAAACAGATCCTCACCTGCTGGAGAACATTTGGAAACAAATACAGTTTTTTTTAATCTTTTCCTTCTTCCCTAAGGACACCTGCATGATATCATTGGCTCTCACACACTGTGCAGAGAGGCAATTCATTGTTGTATACTCACACCCGCCTCTCTGTTCTTCCCACTAAAGTATGGGCCCTCCGTGTACCTGGACTTCAGAACTTGGAGTCTGCTATAGTTTGGATTTCACCATTCCCCAAAGGCCCAAGTGATAATAAAGTCTTGGTGGCACTACTGAGAGGTGATGGAAACCTTTCAGAAGTGGGATGTGATTAAGATTCTAGGTCATTAGAGCCCTTGAAGAGGACTGTGGCTGTGGGTCTCTTTCTTTCTCCTTTTTGATTCCCAGCCATTATGGCAGCTTGCTCCAACACATACCCCGGGCATGCTGCTTTGTCTTCCCACAGGATCAACAGCTGCGGGATCAGTCACTGACTAAACCCTTCACAGTGTGAGCCAAAATAATCTTTTGCTCTTTATACATTGATATGTATCTTGTTACAGTAATGAAAAGCTGACTGACCCAAAGTCAATGGCAGTATCTCCACTTTTAAGGTAAAAAATGAAAAACAAAAACAAAGACAACAACAAAAACCCAAAACCAAAAAGCCCCATCCAACCTCGAAGACTGCAGACTTCCTCCAGCTTTCTGTTTCCCGTTTTTCTCTGTGCCTCCTTTACCCCTTAGGAAGGCTTTTTCTGTCCGTCTGGGACAATAACCAAGACCATCGTACATCAACCCCTATGAAAGCCTTCATTTAAACAGCTTGGTATCAAGGCTTGAGGAAAAGAAGAGAAAGACAACATTCTCATCAAATGTCACAAGACCTTGTTTTCTGTTTGTTTTACCTTAAGTGAAACTTTGCTTTATCTATTTTCTGTTATACCTGACACCAGAGGCTGCCTTCAGATTCTGTTCTTTATCTACCCAAATTTGAACTCCAGGGAAAAATAATATAGCATCCAAGTGAAGATGTGTGTATTTGCGATTGGGGCTTATTTTGTTTCTCTTTACATGTAGCTTCTCTGACTCACTTGCTGTTCTTATTTCCCTTTGAGGAGAGACCAAAATGATGAATCTTCGAGCCTATGCCATTAAACTGCTGCAGACAGAAGGAGAGTCCTTAGGACATTTACTTCCCAGTCAACGCGGGGCTGCTGCAGGCTGCAAGGACAGATAGGCGAAATCACATCAGTGGGATGTGCAGTGTGTGTGTGTGCCAGGAGGTCTGGGCTTCACTTTTGTATACGCAGAAATTAATTGATGGGGTGTGTGAAATTATGACTAATTTATGTTTATTATGATAAGTTCAGACAATAAAGATATTTTTATATAAAGATATTACAGATTTATATAATATATAATAATATAAAGATATTATATATAATATATACTTAAAGATATTACATATATATTTTATATGTTTAATACATATTTATATATGTAATATATAAATATATATGTAATATATTACATATTACATATGATATATAATATATTATATATAATATATATATAAGATTTTTATATGAAGACTTCTACCACCTACCAATAATTCCTATTAATACCTCAGTGTGTGCTCATAACCTTCTAAATATGATGTATAGATAATAGTTTTTCTACAAAAGAGCAGATTGCATGTTTTTAAACAAAGTATAGAATTTACTGTAAATACCACTTGGAAAATTAATTTGCTTTAAATTGACCATTCTATAAACATCTGACCATGTCAGTATATATAGACGGTCAATCTTTTCGTTGTTTTTTACAGTATCATTTAAAAATTATTCCACAATATTTTATTTTATAGATATACACTACTCATTTAACTGACATGCTAATAGCAATTTCCCTGTATGTTTCTGCTACTGTATATAATGCTAACATACATAAACGTACACATATGGTTATTTATGCATGTGTCCAGTTAGTTGTTAGAATAAATTTTCAGAGGTGAAGTTGCTGTGCGTACCATGCATTCTCCTCTCTTATAACTACTCTTTTAACACATTTCATTGCTTTTCGATACTTGAAGTTTATGTACATTTTCCAGTGATCTCAGTGGTCTCTTAAACTGTGAGTAGAACCAAGAAAGAGAAGCCAGTGTGGTGGGCAATCTGTCCGCTTCTGCTTCCTCTACTCCTGGCAAAGTACTTCTCCCCTAACACTGCTTTACAGTCTGTCATTCAAGGAAGCCTCAGTCGGGCATCCTTGGAAAAGGCCGACAGCAGACAGGTCAGACAGCCCTCGGGTTCGGGTTCGGGTTCTGTGTCTTCCTATTCTAGTGCTTCTCTTTCTCTGCACATGCATTGCTTTCCAGGACCTGTGATTCCCTTTGCATACCCAACACTTTGTGGCCCAAATTCATTTCTTTATATTCCAGAAATGTATTGAAGGACTCTTCTCATTTCACAGTTGTGAAGACAGTAAACCTCCATAAGTTATCCTGTCTTGCTTTCTGTGGTTTGAATTGTTCTGTGATCTGAAAATGTTAAGTGGAAAATTCCAGAAATAAGTTTTGTGTGTGTGCATGTGTATGTAGGGTATTAGGGTTTGAATTTAGGACTTTGCACAAGCTACATTCTCAGCCCTCTTTTATTTTTTTGAGACAGGTTCTTATTTAGTCACCAATGCCGGCCTCAATCTTGCAATTCTTCTGCCTCTGTTTCTGAGTAGCTAGTATTTATAGGTATATGCAACTATGTCCATGTTAAGGAATCATAATTTTTAATTGCATGATAATCTGAATAGTATGATTAAATTTCTCTCTGTCCTTTTTTTCTCATGTAACCATATTGTATATGCTGCCTTCCCATTGGTTACTTAGTAGCTGCCTTTGTTATCAGATCAACTGTTTCTGTATCATAGCGGTAGTATCTAAGTGACCCTTAGTTTACATAATGGCCCAAGTGCAAGAATAATGATGCTGGAAATTCAGACATACAAAATAGAACTCATAGTCATAAAGTCCTAAAAGAATTTAAGTAAAAACATGAAAGTCTTGAATTAATAAGAAAAGAAGACATGGTATGCTGAGGTTGCTAAGACCTATGCTAGGAATTAATCTTCTAACATGAAATTGTGAAAAGGAAGAAGAAATCTGTACTGCTTTTTGCTGATCCACTCAAACCACAAAAGCTGCGGCTATGGTGTGCAAGAAGTGCTTAGTTAAGATGAAAAGGCAGTAGCTTATGGGGTTCAGTGCAGTCCTCGGGTGTGAGCGTCCACTGGAACACATCTGCTGTGAACAAGGTAACTACAAAGGTAAACTGTGGTCTTCAGCACTATTCTGGTAGCCAGAGCTCTGCTCCAATTTTTAGAACACAGTGTGATTAGAACAAATCATGTGGGATTAGACACAGTAGATCGAGGGAGCACTGGAAGAAATGAGCATGTTTAGGATCAAGAGAAAAGCCACCGGGAAGACTATTTTCTTCTTGTTCCTGTTTCTGCAATCGGTATACTCTTTTGACCTGATGGAGGACAGAGAGGAAGCCTAGAGTGAAGAGCATTTGATCTTTAAGTTGTAAAGTTGCTCCACTGAATGGATGGAAACGGGGTTTGGTCTTGTGGGTGGGATCATATTTTGGAGAATCTGGGTACGTTGCTACTGAAATGGTAAACATCAGCTAAACAGAAACCCTGAGCCTGTACCACTCCTGGAAGAGAAGGCACACCTGAATTTGAGTTTATTCTTTTACTGTTTCAGATTATTGATGAGAGGGTTAAATGGAGTAACATTTATTTGCTTTGAAAATAAAGTAGAGCATGCATGAAACTTAATGTAGGATTTCAAGTCATCAGACTGTGTTCAGCCTCATCTGCACAAATAATTGCAAATTTGAATAGAAAAGTACATGTAACTACTAGAAAAACAACTTCCCAAGATGAATGTCAGGTACCAAGCTATGTTAGGAGGTCAGTATAAAAATATGGAGAAAGTGATCACTTTATCTGAAAAGAAACTGCTCAATTTAAATTTCTCCAACACATCAGAGTTGTAGCCCTCCCCGCCCCCGC